AGTGTCGATAACAAAATCGATAAAAATATCGATCATTATATCGATAAGTGAAAATATCGATAGCAAAATAAATAACAAAATCGATCATTATATCGATAAGTTCTGAAAATATCGATAACAAAATCTATAAAAATATCGATAACAAAATCGTTAGCAAAATCGATAACAAAATCGATAAAAATATCGATAACAAAACCAATAAAAATATCGATAACAAAATCGATAAAAATATCGATAACAAAATCGATAATAAAAGCGATAACAAAATCGATAATAAAGAGATAACAAAATCGATAAAAATATCGATCATTATATCGATAAGTTCCAAAAATATCGATAGCAAAATCAATAACAATATCGATAAAAATTTCGATAACAAAATCGATAAAAAAACCAACAAAATATCGATTATATCGATAAGTCCCGAGAATCCCTAAAATCCCGAAATAGTTCCGAGATTGAGTCTCTGTGCCTTTATCTATATCCTTTTCTCTACAACTACCTTTATTTTAATCTTTCTTCCTCTATCTTCATCTATACTTTTATCGGTATCCTCATCCGCATCTTTTTCTTTATATTTATCTTTGTTTTTATTTTTATGTTTATCATATTCTTCATATACATATTCCCCTTCACCTTTGCACTTATACATATAAGTAAAGTGTTTAAATTTACCTTGGTCTTCATGTTTGCCTTTATCTTTACTCAACTTTGTTTTTGTGTTTATTTTTACCTTGGCCTTTATCCTTTTCTTTATCTATGTACGTCCTCACCTTTACTTTTATTCTTGGATTGGACTTTTTCTAAATGTTGTTTCACTTCGAAAAGTCTTCGCGTATTATGCATACATGTGTTCATATATGTATGTACATATATAATATGTATGTACATATGTATGTATAGACATACATAGATTACTAAAAATAGAAACAGATCCACATTAACTGCAATCAACATATGTACGTATGTATGTATTTACATATGTACACACGCTGCGATTAGGTTATAAATAGCGCGCCTCTGTTTATCAAAAGCCGCATTACATACGCATACATACTTTTTGTCTCCTTCCCACACTTCCAACATATGCACGTGTTTGCAAAATGATGACGAGGTGATTTTGTATGGAAAATCATTTATGCCCATATATTTGAATAAAATAAACATATATAGAAGATATCAACCAATACTTCCCATATACCAAACGAAAGGAAAACTCTTGAATTTTTGATTAAAGAAAACAAAAAGAAAATCATTCGAGCGGTTTTTGAGCATTTTGGTAATGAAAAAAATGCTCAATATTTGTTAAATTTATATAAAATTTGTACCCGATAATATTTCTACTGCTCCAAAGAACCTATATCCCGAAAATGAAAGTTATATATGCCAACAATAAGTTGCTAGAGCACTTTAAAGGCTCAAAATTGACCCCAAAATAAGGCAATGTTTACCGTTGTTTTTACGACAGAAACCGAATTGGTTATTTACAAAAATGAATCTGTCGACAGGTTTGGAATTTTATCTTTGAAACGCCACACTTTTCTTTGAAATCGCTTTATTAGTTCTCGTGCAATAAGCGTTTTTGTGAAGCTCTAAAAAATTACAACTACAACATTTGAACATAGCCCCCATACCTTAAGGTAAGACGTATTCTACGTCAAAATGTGCAACATCGTATGGAAGGAGATTGCCAAAAATCAACCTGAATTTTGAGCCACTGCAAACTTGCACTTTGTTATACTAATATTAAATGGGCTATTAATCTGCGAAATTTTCCTAAAAATTTTTTTTACAAAATTTCAATTTTTGCTGCCTGATCTTCAGTTGGATTTTAACACTGACCCTCATTATATTTAAGGACCAAAAGCCAAAAGTACATTTTCTTGGGCGAGTAAAATATTGTGGCGGCTGACTTCTCAGGTCTAAACCACCATGTGGGGACCGCTGAGACAACTCACAATGAATCTTACTTTAATATTAGTATAAAAGCTCGATAGAACTTCGGACGCGTAAGTTCGCGGCGATAGAGCGGTGCTACTTAAAATTCAACATTGAACCTATCTCTTCGGTTTTGAATAGATCATTCACGAAAACGTCGCAAGCCAAAGAAGTCTTTATTTACTCCTCAAGAATGCACTTTTTGAAAAATATATAAGTATTGTTGTCTATGAGAGTTGGGAAATAAAGGAGATTTTAGGCAAAACTTGGAATGCCTTGTAAACCTGTTTGAAAAGACCCCGAACATCTGGTGGTTTCTATTACTTATATAACTATTTAGTAATTGAAAGATGTACTCACATTGAGGAAATCACGCAGCCACACTACTTCCGGCTTTGGATCGCCAACAACTTCGCAGAATATGATGACCGTATCGCCTTCATAGGCCTCGCTGGAGCGTGGCTTAACAACAAACATGGGCTCTTTGGAATATCTGAAAGAATAAAAAAAAAACAATAAAAAAAGCCGTGGCGATTGTCCTAAGTACAAACAACTTACGGTAGGTCACATTTCACAATCGCCGGTATGTGACTGCCAGCCCGCTGTCCCTTCTGCTGCTGATCCTCGTCGGGTTCTTCGATTACCACACGACAACTGCTCTCCACTTTACCAACTGCATTTGAAGCGACACACACGTAAATGCCCGCATCGTGTAACGTAGCATCGGCAATCACCAACTCTACGAAGCCGTTGGCATCTAGCGTGCCGGAAATGCGTCTGCTTGGACGCAAACGTACGCCATTGCGGTGCCACGAAACACCCACCGCAGGATAAGCTTCCACCTTAGCAGTGAGTCGTATCTCCTGTCCTTCTTGGTAAATATACAAAGGATCGAGCGGCATATAGAATTCCGGCGATATGTAAGCGCGTATGCCCTTATCCACGACCAATGTGCAATGGCACGACACCGAACCCAGTTCATTTTTAGCTGTGCAAGTATAAACTCCACTATCATCCAAAATAGTACTAGCCAATTCGATTGTATGGAATTGCCCATCGTCTGTAATGAGACAGCGCCGACTCTCAACGATTTGCTGATCATCCTTATACCAAAATACTTCAGGCGTGGGATAGCCCACAACTTGGCACGTCAGACGCACTGGATACGTCATTTGCACGCGTCGATCACGCAAACGCATTGTGAATATGGGCAGCGTGTCACCAGCTGGGGCTACTTTATCTGAATGAATAATTTCCTTTAGTTTCGTATCGGCTTCATACAAACGCAGATCGGAGACAATTTGTACGCGTGCGAAAGTTGATACCCTGCCCTTGGCGTTCGTGGCTTCGCAAGTGTAACGACCAGCATCCAACTCTGAAACTGGCGCAATTATTAGCGTGCAGGTCGAGCCGATTTGTCGAATTCTCATTCGTTCTGCTAATGGACTGATATGCATGCCATCCTTATACCAATCAATTTGGGGGCGTGGCGCGCCACGTACTGCACACTCCAGCATCAGCTGGGTGCCCAGCAAGGCCTTCAACTGACCGGGTAGAATCTTAACGAATTCCGGTAGGCATTCAGCGCCGCCTACTTGCAGTGGACTACTAGTTTGCACCGATGGACCCCAGCCGTAGCGATTCTTGGGCGTAACACGGAAATGATATTCAACATTCGGCTTCAAATTGAAGGCGTCAAACGAATTGATGGGAGTTAGGCCCAGCTCCTTCCACATAGCGCCACCTTCATGGCCAACGATCCAAGCATCTACGCGGTAGGCGATAACAGGCGCAGAATTATCGCGCAGCGGCTTACCCCAAGAGAGTGAGATGTGCGTGGGACCGGAGTCGACTACCAAGGGTTCCGTGGAGATGGGACCTGGAGGATCTGCGACATGTTGAAATAGAAAGGGGTTGATAAATACACAAAGGTCAAATGGATACAAACTTATATGCAATAAGGGCGTTGTTGGTGGTGGTGACGCCCTAAGAAGTTTACGCAATAAAACACCATGCGATTCCCCGGAGAAACATTTTTATTTATTTTTATATAGTTCTTGTATCTAAATGTATAAGATGGATATGATTTTAACCATTTTCTAAATTAATTGAACAGAAACCGTATACAAACTATTGTAAATACAATTGTAACAAAATATTTTTTAAAAAAGTAAAAGATGCAATTTTTCAATTGGAATACTAAAGAAATTTAAATACACTTTTTGGAAATCATAATTTTTTGAGAAGTTCAAATCTGTAAACGAAATCAAAACAAATTCAAATCCATAAAGCCCTTTTGAAAAATCTGCAAAATAAATATAGGAAATAGAGAAAAACTTTGAGAAGCTTAAAGCTTTGAATACAACTAACGAAAAATCGACAGTTGACGAAACAAAACAAAAAACGACAACGTAAACACGAAAGACTAAACTTTTTACCCAGTAACTAACACTCTCGACAGAACCACCATTGGAAAACACAACATATGTATTTGACATACACGTTGAACCATAAACACTCACCTCTGAAATATGAAACGTCAGGGAAACTTTCGAGTCGCTGTCCCCAGCGTGGCGAGGTCGGCGTTTCGGAGCGTGCTCGTGGCATTACCTATTGAATCGAGATGTTGTATGCCACATGGACACCAAGAAAAACAAATCAAAAACAATTACACAAACACAAATGGATAGTAGGCAAACAAAAGAAAACAAAATGAAGAAATAGGAAATCGAAATTTAGGACAACAAAACATAAAAAGCTATCTATTGTTAAGAAGCTTTAGTATTTAAGCAGAGCTTATTTGCTATTTTTAAAGAGGCGTAGCTCGTCATTTAAGTATTACTGGATGATCATAATTATTTTGAGGGGGTGCTACTTTCTTTCCTTTTGGGAGCTTTAACCTATAATAAAATAAAGCGATTAGTGGTAGTAAGTGCTTGCGAGTTTTTAAATTAGATTGTACCGGAAAAAAGTTCGCCCTACAGCCCCGAATCTAAAGTAGCTTTGAAAAGCGATTTCGAAAGTCGAAATTTTTTGGGCGATCGTAGATTTCGCCCCCTTTTCGTTATATCTTCGTCATTTAGTCTCGCGAAGAATTTTTTTTTGTCAAAGTTCATTGATCTCAAACACCCCGTTGTACTACTTACCCACCAGATCACAGTTCCTACTACCCTAATATGTGTCGTAATCCTAACATAACACCCTAATGTCTGTAAACTAAATATCTCCAAAAATCATTAAACTTTTGCTAAGAAAATGTTTTGATAATTCCAGAGCTATTTAAGAAAAGTTTATTGCCGAATGGAGGTATTACCGAAAAATATAAAAAGGCGATCGTTAAGTTCGAGCCAAAAAAAATTTTGAAATTTATTTTCTAAAAATATTTTGGACTTGGGGTTGTACGGCGAACTTTTTTGTTTGCTTGTAAGGTGGTACGGTCTAAAGTACATAGTTGAAGAGCAAGGCATTTGCGGAGCTTTTTATTTTTTTTCATCGCCTGTCAGCTTAAGAGTGTCTATTCGGTAACGAGTTAGTGATTCAGAATCCTTAATGCCGTTTCGCAGCGCCGCTTTTCGGATAACCGCCAGCTGGTTTAACAGCACAAAGTGTGTGTTTGTCTATTAGAGCATTCACACAAGTCGGTGTCTAGTTATACACAATTTGTGGCGACAAATCATCTGCTGGTTAACCCATTCGTGAACAGATATTCTGCAAATTAGTCTACCTGCTATTGGTCTTCTCCTCGACTTGTTGGAACAGGAATCTCATATGGACTCGATTTATTCGTCAGACCCTTTTTTGATCGCGCACTCGACAGCTTCTTTATTTTCCGAGAAATCAAGCCTAAGTTCTGACAAAGAAAATTCACTCGAAAAAATAGGACAGTAGTTTTACTAAACAGGCCTAAGAGAAGAAGAAAAGGAGATTGGGACTGGAAAGCAAAGATCTCAGAGGCCGGGTACTTGGCTGTAGAGTTTAATCTAGTTAGAGGCATACATCCGAATCAGATTTGTCTCCAAACCCTATTTGACTTAGAACAACGAATGTATGTTTACCAAAAAAAGGCTGTACTAATGATGACTGATACCAACATCGGGGCAGAAGAAGTTTTTAGACGTAGGAAGATCGATATCCTGACACATCAGGGCTAGGAAATCAGTGCCCAGATAGACCAAACATGATAGCCTAGTACGTTGATATCTCATTGACCACAGAGAGTTCCGGGATAGCTTTGGTTAGACCGAGGTTGAGATACTCGGAACCTATGGGAAAACATATGTACATTTCCAGAAAGAAGCGCGGACTTAAATATCAAGCTCAACACCCGGAATCGGAATATCCCAATGTAGACTTATGGCCAAGCAGCTGTTAAAACTCTCATGTCTCATCAGCTAGCATCTAAACTGATGATCAAGTGCCTCAATAAGCTCTTAGTCATACCCATCGAGTTTGGTTCTTTGCGGTATATATTGGTATTGAAGGAAATGAGATTGCTGATAAGCTTCAAATAAAGCAGCATCAGCCCCTTTCATCGGCCAAGAGCCCGGCATTTCAGCATCCACCCACAATTCCTGAAAATCACCGTATTTCTTATCCAAACAGCAGCCCTGCCTAGCTCACCGCCATCGTTTATGGGACTTGTTGATTTTCTCTAACTGTTTAACAGCGGTAATATTATCTCATAAACATTATCACTTTAAAAGCCAAGAGTTCTTATAGTCACTGGAAGTATCATTTGCAATTTCGAAAGGCGGTCTCTCAAAAGTCTCAAACAAATGACTTGCTCTTCCTTAGAATATTGTTAGTTTACCAATAAATGCATTAGAATGGTTAAAATTCCTCGCTGTCTCCTTTCAACTTACCGCAACAGTCACAAATACTCTGTCGGTGCCGAAGTTGTTGCGCGCAACGACAAAGTATGTACCCGAATCGGCGATTTGTGAACTTTGCACTGTAAATCTGGTGTAGTCATCCGATACCTCCTTACTAACTCTATCTGATTTGGTTATGTCCTTAGTGCCCTTCAAGAAGGATACTGAAAATACAAAACAAACACAAATACACACCAAATCAAAATTCACATGAATAACCTGGCCTTTTCTAAAACACTCACATTTTGGTTTCGGGTCGCCAGCAATACGGAACGAAATCGAGAATGGATCACCAACTAAAATCTTCATTTCGGTATCTGGTCTGGACAGGAACAACGGTGGACGTTCATCCTTCGGTACACCGGCAGCCACATCAACACTCACATGTGATTCAATGCGACCGAAGGCATTCGAGGCACGACATGTGTACGTACCCTCGACTTCGGGTTGTGCATTTAATATGGCCAGTGTATAGACGCCACCTTCCATAAATGTTTGTACGCCCGGCAGGGAAGAGACATTTTTACGATCTCGTAGCCAATGTACCTCCAGTGGTGTGGATGATTTCATGAACTCAGCCGAAATGGCAACTGTACCGCCGGCACAAACCGTCTGGTTGCTGAGCGGTACACTAAAGTGTGGCTTATTGGGATCGCGATGGAAGTAGCCGTGTGTCTTCTCGAGTGCGAAACGTTCACGACCAACGAAGTCGACTTGGTGAGTGATCTTATTTTCGGCAGCTTCATTGCGGGCAACGCAAGCATAGAGACCGGAATCCTTCTCGGTTGGATTGTTAATAATCAATTTAGTATGGCCATCTGCAGATGTGATAATGTTATAGCGATCGCCTTCGGTGAGCGGTTCGGTGCCCTTCAACCATTGTACATCGGGACGTGGTTTACCGCGTACACGGCAATCCAGAACCAGTGTATTCTCGTTAATCGTATAAGTATCTGATGGATGGAAGAGGGTTATCAAGAAGTTATAAACAAGTTAAGGTGGATTTGTACAGAGCAGGCGGCAATCAAATGAACTGAGAGTAAAACGTGTGGTCGGTTTTTTATCAGGGAAACTTATTAGAGAAAGCCTCTCCCCAAAATTTGTGAAGAAAAAGGATTTGATTGCCATCTACTCCGACAAGCAAACACAAAAATTACAACAAAATCACACTTAATCACCGATCACGAAACACAAAAACTTTTGAAAAAAAAATTACTAAAAATCTGTCTGCCCCACCCCTCAGGTCAGTAATATGTGTCTCTTAGGAATACCTACTTAAAGATCTTATTTGAACTATACTCCACCTCGGATTGATTGTACAAACGCGGTTGGCTGTACAGCGTCCTCGTAGTGCTTGTAGATACGTAATTGCGCGTGCGTAAACGTTTCACCATAATCGTTGATGGCACGACAAGTGTAATTGCCGCTATCATCCACACTCGTTGCACCAATATCCAACGAAGCAATACCATTGCGGAACATAGTCAAATAACGACCATCATTCAGCAGCGGACGATGATTCTTCAGCCACTCAATGCGCGTATCACCGTCGCAAACCACATTACAACTCAGTCGTATGCTGGAGCCCTCAGTGACTGTGCGATCGTGTAGCAGAGTACTAAATAATGGTTTACTCTGCGAAATCATGCCTAAAGGACGACGTTCGCGTGCGCGTTTAATAACAGCCTCAGTGCTGCCGTAGGCCGATACATCACCGTTGCTAGTAATCGCTTCGTAGGGCGTCTGCGAGGAACGACGCCTATGTGATATGTATTCGCCATTTGTGGTTACCTCTGTGGCCGTGGACATTAAGCGCTTCAGCTCGCTGGTACGTATGGACTTGCTGATAGCGTGTATGACATCATTGGTTTCAGCAAAGCACGAGAAAGTGCCACAGTCGGAAGGTATAGGATTGCGTATGACTAATTTCCGTATGCCACCCACCGCTTCTATAGACTTGTAACGATTATTGGAAATGCTGTGATCATCGCGTAGCCATGTGACATTCGGACGGCCATGCACTTGACAGGTGAGTGTGATCTCGTTCCGTTGCGCATCATATGTTTCTAAGGGAAGATATATTCAAAAGTGTTACGCCTATATGGAAAATGCAACTCAGATTACTGCTAACTATATAGGGTAACCACGAAATTTCTGTCGGCAGTCTACCCAAATTTAGACCTCATTCCTCCACACTACATTACCTTTGATATCGCTCGCAAAACTACTAGGCAGTTTGCCGCTTGCTTGTTCGTAGACGGTTAATTCGCAACTGCTTTCAATCGCATTCTTATTATTTCGCACCACACACTTGTAGACGCCTGTATCGTCAGCTCTTGCGTTGTGTATCTCCAAGCTGATTGCTCCATTAATATTGTATATTTTATGACGCGTATCTTTGGTAACGCGCTCGTCGCCGCGCAACCAATAAACCTCTTCAATGTAGCCACTAACATAGAATATGAGCTGCGCCTTATTACCCTCTGCTATGGACATTGGTTTCATTACAGTCTCAGCACTCAACTTGAGCTTCTCCTCCTTTGCCTTCGACTTCAGCTGCGCGCTGGTTTCGCGTTCATCGATTCTAGCGGTCGCATCAGTTGGTGCGGGCTCCTGTATGACCTTTTCTATGGTCCGCTTCTGCTTTAATTTCTGCACATAGTCGGATATGTCCAAAAATTTGCTTATCTTCATCTGTCCGCTCTCGTTCTCTGCATAGCAAGTGTAGAGCCCTGTGTCGGTCTTGGTTGGCTCTGTGATGAGCAGTTGTGTGACACCGTCGCCTATATCCGCATATCTGTACTTCGCGCTGTCCAGAGGCAGCAACGTATTGTCTTTTTGCCAATAGATATTAGGCTTAGGATTGCCGGATACCTTACATTCGAGCACAATTTCATTTTGATCTTTCTGATAAGAATCTGTATGAAAAGTTTGGACAACAAGGCGATACACAGAAGATGAAATCAAACACAAATTGAATAAGAAACGATTTTATGTTACAGTTAGTTGCCTAGGCTCATAATGCGGTGTTAGTAGCAGCGGCAAAGCGCTTAATTTATCGCTACCCCTATAGTTGCTTTTATACGCTAACATACCTGCGACTCTTCGACAACACCATTGGACGCATAGACACAATTCCTCAATAACAAGAAGTTACACATTTCCAAGTTCACATCAAAAACACATGCAATTACGCTTTACCTTTGATGCCCACAGTAAAAACGGGCGCCACCAACTCCTCCACACCGGTTCTGTAGACAAATAGTTCGCAAGTGCTAACCACCTCATTCTCCGAACCTTTGATGCGCAGTGTATATTGGCCAGCATCTTCTTCGGTTACGCCTATCAAATTCAACCATGCAATACCATCCTGGCAGGACAGTTTGCTTTTTGGTCCAAAAGCGATGGGCGTATCGCCATGGAACCAACGTGCAGTTGGCTCAGGTCCATCGATATTGACCATCCATTTAACGTTGCTGCCCGCCTTCACGGTACGATTTGAGAGGAAATTTCTCAGGTATAGATATTTCTTTAGATCTGGTGGTGGTGGCGCTTCACGTCTGCCACCACCGCCACCCTCCTCATCGTCCTTAGCCTTCCTCTTCTTTTTCTTCTCTTCACCCTCCTCGCCCTCTTTCTGCTCCTCCTCTGTTGCTGGCTTCACTGGTGGTCTAGCCTCCTTCGGTGGCGACACCGGACGTCGACGTCTGGGTTCCACGGTCACAATATGAGTAATCTCAGTTTTTCCTTCACGATTTTCAGCCTGACACACATATTTGCCACTATCGCCCTGTACTGGATCGATTATGAATAGCTCGCATAGACCATCGTCGTGATCGATTTGCTGATACTTTTCGCTTGATTCAATTTTAACGCCATCCTTAACCCAAGTCACAGTTGGTGTGGGTAGACCACGCACATGCACGTCCAGCTGTAGCTCATTGATCTTGCCATGATAGGTATCTTTGATGTTGCGCGTGAATGTGGGCGGTACATCGCCAGTGCCGGGATCGGCATACACTTCCAATTTGCAGAAGGTGGAAGCCTCGCCAGTTTCATCACGCGCCCAGCACTTGTACACACCACTGTCCTCAGCCGTAGCGCTGAATATTTCCAGCAGGCATAAGCCTTCACTGTAGCGTCCCCTAATTTTAGGGCCATTCTGAATGGCTTCGTCGTTCTTGAACCATTTAACTTGTGGCTCCTTCGATTCTAAGAAGCAAGATATCTTCACTTTAGAACCCTCAGCTACAACACGATCACGCACAGATGTAGCGAAATGTATGCCGATAACCTTTTCACGTTTCTTAAGACTACCAGCATCCGAGGCATACTCGGTTGCCGATGAGGTAACTTCTTCCTCCTCTTTCTTTGCTCGCTTAACCTTACTCTTGCCTTTGCCTTTTGCGTCCTTCTCTTCCGATTCACCATCGGTCGTATCACCTTCTTTGGCTGCTGTCGCTGTTGGTGCTGGCTTCTTCTCTTCCTCTGTTGCCTTGGGACGCAACAGGCTCTTATCAGCATGGAATACACCATGGATATTCTCAGCGATATGAGAAGCACTACCCTCAAAAAGCACCGTGTGCAAAATTTCACTCTTTCCAGCGCTATTCTCCGCGCGCACCACATACTTGCCGGAGTCCTTTTTATCGGGTCTATCAATGATCAATTCGCAAGTGCCATCCTGGTGTTGCAAAATTTGGAAACGTCCACCAGTTTTTATTTCGAAATTATCCTTAGACCATGTTACCTGCGGCGCAGGCTGGCCACGTACTCCCGTCTCCAAGATTAATTCATTTGTATTCAGATGATAGATTTCTATTTGAGAGCAATAACATAAGATTAGTTATTATGTAACTCACTCGATTGAACTCACAAGATTACGAAATCATTTGCGAAAAATAAAAGGAATAACACACACTGGCTCGTGCCAATCTAACAGTAAAGGCATAAAGTCGCTACTTACCTTTCAGTGAGCGCGTAAACATCGGCTCCACATCGCTGCTGACCTTCGGCGAGTAAACGTGTATCAAGGCCGAGGTGGTTATTTTACAGAATTCATTTTGCGCTGTCAAAGTGTAGACGCCAGAGTCTTCGGGCGCAAGATTCAGGAACTCCAAGCAGGCCAAACCCTCGCGGCTCATATTGCGTATGCGTGGTCCATAGGTAATATTTTGTTCATCTTTCTGCCACTTGAAAGTGGCATCTGGACCGCCGACAACTGCCTGCAGTTTAACCTTAGAGCCCACGGCTACATAGCGATTCGATAGATTCGCAATGAAGTACAATTGCTGCTTTGGTGTGGGATCGGGAATGCGACTGCGACGCTCATAGGTGCCTGACTCAGCTTCGTCGTCATCCTTCTTCTTGGATTTTGGAAGACGGCTGCGCTTTTCGGACTTCTCACCCTTTTGGCCAGCCGCTTCTCCAGCGCCAGCTTCGCTATCCGATTCGGTCATTACGTTGGACAATAAACTCGAACGACGCGACAATTGCACAACTTCTACAACAACTGTGTGTGTGGTCTTCTGGCTGCCCAATTTATTTTCAGCTATGCAAGTGTACACACCGCTATCATTCGTTGTTGGCTTGTTAATGATCAGCTCACAGATACCGTCCAAATGCTCGATCTGTACGCGACGATCATCGAGCACAACTGGTAAATTGTCCTTTACCCATGTAATCTTGGGGCGGGGGTTGCCGCGCACCTTCGTGTCGATAATTAAATCGTTCTGCGACGAGTGGTATACATCTGTGAATTTGAACAGAGACAAACATCAAAGCGATTTGCCGCGAAAGCTTTCGCTGGTGACAATTAAAATGCTGGCACACAAAGAAACTCCGACAAATTGACACAAAAAGCGATATTTGTGAATGTGAAATGCAACGTGTCTATTTTGGGAATGGACACCTCGACCCCAATTGGGGTATTTAGGTCTTTCGTTTAAACGATTCGATTGTGCGAATTAGCGGTTGTGAGTGTTTGAATGCATCGATTACTGAATTTTCACCAACAAATATGTATGTACAAACACTAAGCAACCACACAAACACAATACGCGCGTATGCCCCGTGTACAGGTGTGTATCTGATTCCCGGTATCTTACGACAATAAAATGCGACACAATTTGAGTGACAAGGATAACACGAATTCACTAATCATCTCAACAAATACATACAACACCGACGGAATAAACAAACACTCCCACATCTGCCATACCTCTGAGTGGTAGTGCGAACATTGGCTCCTGTTCATCGCCATCAGCCTGTGCACTGTACACCTTGAAGTAGCACTGCGTTTCAACTTCGCTATGTTCGTTCTTGGCCACACACTTGTACACGCCTGATGCTTCGGATGTAACCTTGCTCACCTCAAGTATGGCCTTGCCTTCCTCGGATAGATTCTTAACAGTGGGACCAGCCACCACCCACTTGTCATCTTTCATCCAGCGACAGCTGGGGCTCGGTCCAATGACAGTGCACACGAAGCGCACAGTGCTTCCTTCCAGTGCCATGCGATCGCGCAGTTGTGTGGCGAATGTGAGTTTTTGCTTCGGCGAAACCAATGGCTCGGGTGACGCGCGATGTACGCGCTCCCTTGCCTCAGCCGCTAGTGAGGTGCGCTTAAGGTCTGAGGCGGCTTTTGATTTGAGCGCCTCCGTCATGGCTTTCTTTGCCGACAACTCCTTGTCCTTTTGTAGACGATCGCGAGCGTGGAAGATGCCGCGCGCATGGAAATGTCTATTTTTGGCCACTTCGACGTGATGGCTAATTTGCACTTCGCCGCTGGAGTTCACTGCCTTACAGATATAACTACCGCTATCCCTATCATTCGGTTTGTAGATTAGCAACTTGTAGGTGCCATGTGCCTCCTCAAGCATGGTAAACTTGTAACTCGGCTTGATTTCGAGGCCACCTTTCATCCAAACGACAACTGGACGTGGCACGCCGTGTAAGTGGCACTCTATTGTGAGCTCATCGTCACGCAAATGGTAGTACTCTGTAAAGGTAAAATTTCCCATAAAAAATATACCCCACACGGCAATAAATATACCTGTAAGATCTCTTACCTTTGACGAGCTTGCATGAAGGAGGTGCTGGTTCATCCTTGAATATCTCATAGATTGTTATATAACAAGACGACTGAACGGTATCGTTGGAATTCGCCACTACACAGGTGTACTCGCCGGAATCTAAAATCGTCGTATTTACCACCTCCAATGCCAAAATGTTGTTGTTGTTGATGATGCGATGTGTGGCATCACGCTCCAATTGCCGACCATCCTTGAACCATTTCACCGACAACTCGGGACCGCCGACAGCACAAGAAATACGCACATTATGGCCAGCTTCAACGGTACGATCCGTTAAGTAGACAATGAAATGTGGCAAACGTGCTTGCTCGCGTATACGCTGCCATTCGGCATCACGTTCCTTCTCGCTCTTGTGTATGCGCAAACTGTATTTGCGCATTTGTTGCATAAACTCCTCACCCTCTTCCGCGGCGATTCGCTGCCATCGTTCCTCATCGTAGGGATTGGGTCTGGTGAACTCTTCAGATGAATTGCTGCCACGGCGCTTCTTGCTCTTAGGCAGTTCAGGTACCACATCCTCTTCCTCCGCCTCAGCGTCAGCACCCTCCTCTGGGTCTGCATCTTCGTCCCGATATTCGCTGCCACCCTCATCGGCATAGTCGCCGCCATACGACTCAGTGCCAGCGTGTGATTCATCACCCTCTTCGTCCTCTTCTTCGCCGCCCTCATCTTCTGGCTCCTCGTCCTCCTCAGCCTGTTCGGCTGCCCGCTGCGCGGCCAACTCTGCTTCAATGCGGTCCTGCTCCTCTTTCTCCTTCTTCAAGCGTTCCTGGCGCTCAGCAAAAGTTTCGCCTTTGGGCTTAGAAGCTGCTTTAGCTGCTGCATCTTCGGCAGCTTTAGCCGCTGCCTTGGCCTGCTCCTCCATTTGCAAGACAAGCTTACTCTTCTTCGGTGGTGGCTTGGGTGCAGGTCCTGCGGCCTGTTTTTCCTCAAACATTTTCTTACTGGCCTTTTGACCGCCGCCCATTTCCAATTTCAAGGTCAACTTGGGACTGGGCGATTTCTCCTTCTTTTCTTTTTTCTTAGGCGCAGCCTTCTTTTTGCCCTTCTTTACAGGCTCATCGAATTCATCCGGCTCGATACTCTCCTCTCGGTCGGCGCTTTCAATATCACCGGACTCCGCTTCAGCTTCCGAAATAGAGCCGGATCTTGCATCCTTTTCTACTGACTTGCGTGGTGTGCGCGCCTTCTTGCCCTTGGCTTTCTTCTTCGGCTTGACCTCCTCTATGATTTCCTCCTCCTCTTCGACATCCTCGTACTCCTCAATCAAGTAGATAACCTCAACATTCGATACATCCATTACGGCAGCACGATCAATGACAGACAAATCGGTCGTTATGTAACGCACAGGCTTTTGAACTTCCTCGCTCTCTGTAATATCCATAACCAATGCTCGATCAAAAACGGCTTTATTGCAGGTGATTTGAGTTTTAATATCCCTGCCAAGTTCGAAAGGAGTTTTCTCGCGCTCCTCGCGTTTCAAGAAAGGCGTTATGCTGCGCCATGTCGAAGGCGTAGCGCTGCGACGATTCAGGTATAGCGAGAACGGGGTTTGACTCCTGCCGCGTATGGGTGTAGCGCTGCGACCGCGCAGCGTACCAGGAGTTGGCGATTTCACTTTCCGACGTTTTTGCACCGGGACCGCTAACGTATCCTGTACAGGAGTCGATTCGGTCTCCTCAGATGGTCGCGTATCGGCTGCACCGACTTCACCTTCCGTCTCTCCCATCGTTTCGACAACTTTTTTTTTTATCGATCAAGGATCAAACGAACGAGGTTAAACAAAATAGCGCGTGCTTGCGTTTATTAAATAACAAAACAAAAATATTTCGATTTATTAACGATTTTTAAACTTTTCGAGGCGTTTATTAGCTGAGTTTATAAATTCTATATTATTATATATGTGTATATATAATATTTTCGGTAAAATTCCAATGTAGCGGCTCGATTGGGAGAGAGCGTTCGAAACCGTTCGATTAGAAATTTTAACTATAACTGAATTGAATGCGCCGAATAAATTTCAAATGGTTTTTTCGACACGATTAAAAGACGGCGCGACGTCTGTTTTCGATTTAACGACAAGCGAAGTGCTCGATTTCGAAGTGCAGCACCAAGCAACATACAAAATGTTGGCCACGAGCAATCAATTAATTGATCAATCGAATGGCGAAGAATTTCCGAACGATTTGCAGCGATTGCCAATAAAAATCTAAATTTACTTAATTGTCATAGATTCACGCGTTATTTATTCGGGTTTATTTTTCTCGATTTGTAATTATGTAAACAGGCAACGAAAAAGCCAATGAGGCTGCGTGGGTGTGGTGCAGCGAGCGGAAAAGGTGGCTGCGAGGGAAGTGTTTTAAGTAACTGCGCGCGGTATTTTTATCGAAGCTATTTTCTGCAAGCAGTTGGCGTGTAGGTAATTAAATTTTTTACTTTTATTTTTATATTTTTTTTTTCGTCATGACGATTTGCAAAACTTATTCTTTTCAGCCCGATTTGCACTGACACCTTAATTTCGAAATTCAAATCAACGGATTTGAGAGATTGCTTGAAGCACAAAAAAAAACAAGAAAAGAAAAAAGAAGAGCAAAGCGACGGCAACGGCATTGAATCATACTACACGGAAACGCCACTTCCCGATTATTTCGCATTCGGTTCATCATGTGAATGCTGCGATTGTTTTGATTTTTTTTTTCTATGAATTAATACTTTAAATTTGGTCTAAATAAATTTTTAATCACAAATATAATCACGAGACGAAGATTACTTGAAATATCGTGCTACTTACCTGTACACAAATGTATGTATGTATATCGTTGATCGTTTTAGAGATTCGTAAAAAAAAAATTATAAAATTATATAAAAGTTGTAAGTAAAATTTTTTTATGTACATAAATAAAATTATTCTCCATGTATTGAGACATGCAGAATATTACGAGTCAGCTAAATACATCCGCTGATAATAGTTCATTGCAATACATACTAGGTGCGAGCATTAAACATTCCTTAAACGGCGCACATCTAAAACATTTCAAAACTATTTATTGAAATCTCTCCTCTTTATGCCTTATCAATAGTGGAATTCGCGCTTCTGTGTATTCGTTGTATCTTACTTAAGTGTAACTGGACGAGCGTGTGATTGTTGTTGCAAGTGTATTTATTGTACTACTATCAACAACATATCACACGCTCATTCAATTACAATTACACAAGATACAACGAATACACAGAAGCGCGAATTCCACTAATGTACATAACTTCGTTATCTAATTAAGAAAAAACTATAGTACCGATATATTTTGGAATAAATTTTCCTCATATCTACTTTGTCAAATTGGGAGATAAACTGGTTTCGATTTTGTGTCAGAACAAAAATTGGCCCTGAAGATGACGCAAAGCTGAAGTCGATTTGTTTCCATACCAAATTTGAAAGGCGATGACGGGAATTCCGCCCGAATTGTCTCATGAAAAATCGTTCAAACTAGCTTTGCTCCACACGCTTTTCGGGCTGTTTCGGTAACTAGAGCGTAAAAATAAGTTATCCTCTCACAAGTGTCAAAAATGTGTCAACACGTGCCAAAAGTTTCCAGAGCGTGAGGAACGTAAAAAAAAACACATTTTGTGCTCGGAATTAACAAATCAGCTCTAAACAATGACTTTATGCGTATTTATCTAATATGGCAAATAAAATTAGCAAATATGCACATTTTTTTCTAGCGTGAGGAACGCTTTCTAGGCTGTTTTGGGCACCCGCGTGCCCGTGTGAAACAAACCAACTGTCTCATCCGAATTCATGATTGGGTCCTTGCACCCAATCCCCCGCCACTGAAAACACAATAATATACCAGGAAAATTTCCTTCCCTTGACGGATACTTCCAGCCCTCCACGCTGCAAGGTGCAGTTATCTTCCGAAAGGGAGTGTTCCCAAGGGAAAATATCCGCGCATATTTCAGACGGAGTCAACACCGTGTGCAAAGCTAAGTTACGTAGGAACACCCGAAATTAGAGGATCCTAATCTGAAGTTATATCAAGGCGGCGCTCCGGGCTATCATATAAAATCAAATCATCCTCAGTCGTTGTGTGAATTGAGAAGCTTAACTTCCTTAGTAGGTACAGTGAAATCCAGATACCAGGCCACAAGGACAGCTGGTGGTTCATATACTATTAAGGAAAATCTCAGGAAGGAGAAGAATACATTGAATGGCGAAACTCAACAGGGCTGCGACCGGCTAAGAATTCTAATCAGACTACGAAAATAGAAACTGAGCGTATTAGCAGCTATCCTTACAAAACACTGCACACAAGTAGGTCATCTACCTAAGCTTAGGTTCCGGTCCTTTTCATTTTTGCGACTCGACCAAAGCGACAAAATATCGCATATTGTTGTGGGTTATGACGGCGTTTGTAGAAGACGTTTGGCTCAATGTGGCCAAAGTTTAAGCACATACACTATCTACAATCGGAAGCTAATCTGAACTTTCTGAGGTACTTGGTATTAGAGAAAAAGTGGTATGGAGTTTAAGGCATTGAAAGCAGATCTCTAGCTCGCAGTACATTTTTCGTAGTAATACTAGTAATATCTAGCGTCCAGAAACATAAGGAAAATTCACCCGTGAAAAGCTGCAATAACAACTGACTGCCGCCGCCATGCTTACTCTCTGTGAGCACTTACCATCAAGCTGACTTATGCAAGAAAGAAATCAGATTACATCAAGCTCGAAAGAACAACTAATAAGAAATGTCACGAATTGATTGAGTTATATCAGTGTGGGTTTAGACCTGACAAGTCCACCATAGACCAGGTATTCACAATACTCCAAAAGCTAGACAAGACTAACGAAAATAGAATGGACGCACAACATATACTTGTCTTTTTCAAAGCCACTTTCGATAGCACGAAAAGAAGTGGTCTTTATGCCGCGATGTCTGAATTTCGTGTCCCCGCGAGCTCTATCAGATTGGGAGGGACTTATCCTAGTCGTTTGAATAATATCTAAACGCTGCAGAACTGAACCGCTCAGGCACAACTCATTACAAGAGCGTAGAATTGCTTGCGTATGCCGGCGACACCGACCTTATCGGTAAAAACAAGGGTTTCATGTGTTCTGCCTTCATCGCATTTAGATATGGAAGCAGAGCGCGTAGGTCTGTTGGTTAACAGGGAAAAAACGAAGTATCTTCTGTCATCAATGTCGATGTCACTCGAAATCCAGCGCAGAATTATTCTTGCAATAACTCCTAATTAGGACTGCGTAGACAATTTAGAAGTAAAGTTCTCCCTCGCCGTATAAAAATTACACTCCATAAGTCACTCATCATGCCTGCGCAGGTTTATAGCGCGGAGGCGTGGACATCTAATGAGGCGGCTCTTTGAGTTTTCGAGAGAAATATTCTACGGAATATTAACGGGCCTTTGCGAATGGCGAGCTTTCAACGATAAGACATAGTGCAACGAACTAAAATCCAGCGATTTGGCTGGCTAGGTCATATCGTTCGAATGGAGAGAAACGCTCGAGCCCTGAGAGTATTCAACACGGATGGCGATGCTGGTAACAGAGGAAGAGGAAGGTTACAGCAGCAATCAAGAAGAAGAATTAGGCATTAAAATAAACAGTGGACCGTTAACTCATATTTTGGTAGTTATTAGTTATTTTCTTTTTATTGTATTTTTGAAACGTTTGTAAGAAAAATACATAAATATATGAATTTCAGGAAGTAATCGGACTTTATTCTCCAACCAGTGTAACATCTCAGCATATTCAACAAATTCGAATTCATGCATTTCCTTTTATGCGTTCGCCTTTTTACCAGACAATAAGAAAAATATCCACTTAAAAACGTTCTTAAACTAGCAAATAAAATATTTTGCATTTTGTCAAAGCATTCTCAGGCATAATATCACAGTACGCGCCCATACAAACACACATACATACATACGATCATATAAATATTCAATACTAAAACAAGCAAAAAAAAACTAAATTTCATTAACTCGAAAAAAACAGATGAAATTGTTTACTTAGAAAATACGGTAATTCACTTAATACTTAGTAAGCTCGAAAAAAGCGGAAAGCAAAGCTCCTAAATAGGTATGCATATAAACATACATACGTATGTATGTAAATATAAATTTAAATTTAATTTCAGAAGAAAAAAAAAGTCAAAGTAAATAAAACAAAATAGAGCCAGTAAAGAATTTCGAAAATGAAAAACAATTTGCATACCTCTGATGTTACGCGTAAATATTGGCGTTGTGCCAAATTTAGTTGTTGGTACATCGTAAACAGTCACAAGGCAACTCGTCTCCACTTCTCCATTGCGATTGGCCGCCACGCATCTGTAAACACCCGCATCGCCTGCATTGGCTGTCCGTATTTCCAAGCAGGAGAGTCCATCGTTGAAGGTCTTTCGATATTTATCGTCATTCGCAATCAATGTCTGATCGCGATACCAATCAACCTTCAGTTCTGCGCCAGATATACTGCAGGTGAGTTTTATATCGCTGCCCAACGCTGAGTTCCGGTTTGTCAATTTCAACTCAACGTTTGGCGCACGTCGGGCATTTCGTGCTTCCCGTTTATCTTTGTACTCTACTTCGCTTGGCTTCTCTGCGCGTGACCTTGATTTCTCCAATGGCACAGCATCAACCTCATCTAAAGCTGCTTCGGCAGGTTTTGTGATAATTTGTTGCGCTGACTTTGGCTCAACAACTTCTGTGACGTCCTTTTGTGTGATCACCACGTCTTCAGTCTTTTTCGTAGTAGCCTCTTTTGTAATATCGATGGGTTGTTTGTCTTCTGCAATGCTCTTCTTTCTCTTTTCTTTCTTGGTTGTATCTGCTTCCGTTTTAATTTCCTCAGTCACCTTTGGTGTAGGCTCTACTTGCTTTTCTATCACCTCCTTGTCTTTTTCTGCACTCTTCTTTCTCTTCTTTGGCTTTTCTTCCACCTTCTCAGCTTCAGGTTTCTTATCAAGGTTTGCAGCAGCCTCAGGCTTATTTTCTACAGCTTCAGGTTTTTTCTTATCAGCTGCCTTTTCTTCTTCGACACTCTTCTTTCTCTTTTCCTTCTTCGGTTTCTCTTCTAGCTTCTCAACTTCTTCGACAGGCTTTTCAGCTGGTTTTTTAATAGGCTCTCTTTTCTTTTCTTCCTCCTCATTTTTCATTCCTTTGTCTTCTTTCCGATTCTCAACAGTCTTCTCGGCTTCTTTAATAGGCTTCTCAGCAGATTTCTTATCGAGCGTTTCAATAGCTTCAGCTTTCTTTTCTACAATCTCTTGCGCTTCAGGCCGTTTTTCTTCCTCTTTCTTAACTTCTTCGGCACTCTTCTTTCTCTTTTCCTTGAGTTCCTCTAGAGTCTTATCAGCTTCTCCATGAAGTTTTTCTTCAGATTTTTTAACGTTCTCAGGTTTCTTTTCAACAGCTTCAACAATTGCAGGCTTTTCTTCCACGATTTTTTTCACTTCCTCAGCACTCTTCTCTTTCTTTTCCTCTTTGGGTTTCTCCAGAGTCTTACTAGATTCATCAGAAAGTGGTTCTTCAGGTTTTTCAACGGTCTGAGGTTTCTTTTCAACAGCTTCGAGATTTGCAGGCTTCTCTTCCTCGACCTTTTTCACTTCCTCAGCACTCTTCTTTCTCTTTTCCTTTTTGTGCTCCTCTAGAGTCTTATCAGCTTCTTCAACAGGCTTTTCAGCAAGTTTTTCTTCAGATTTTTCAACGGTCTCAGGTTTCTTTTCAACAGCTTCAACAATTGCAGGCTTTTCTTCCTCGACTTTTTTCACTTCCTCAGCACTCTTCTTTCTCTTTTCCTTTTTGGGTTTCTCTAGCGTCTTATTAGCTTCTTCACCAGGCTTCTCAGCAAGTTTATCTTCAGATTTTTCAA